GATCTTATACAAAGACCTAGATTTAGTTACTTTAAACAAAGACCTATTGGTTACAGATCCTAGGATAACAAAATAAATTCAGGAATGAGAGCTCAGTGAGACTAGTTAGAACTCAGATCACCGCTGAGGCAGACCTACCTGGCAGCAGAGAAGAAAGACAAATTTTGGGAACAAGGGACCCAGTGAGTGCCCCCGTTTGGTCTGAGGATGCCCTAGAATGCTTCCAAGTAGGGGCCCTTGAAATCGCCTCAGAAGAAACTCCAGAGCTGTCACAGAATAAGACCACCTCAATAGCTGAACCAAGCTGAGTGTGTTGCTATCAGCCCTGTATTGTATCAGCTGTACGAGAGCAGTTTTAGAATGTTTGTAGCCACATGTGTCTTACTTGGATAAATAATTTTGTAGAGTCAAGGTAAAATAATAAGATTGGTTCTGCTGTGCTTTTTATCACGTGAGTAATGCACGCTCCAATTGCAGAAACAATGTTCAATCTAGAAAATGCAGCTAAGGAAAACTAGTATTAAAAATAATTCGTAATACCATCATCCAGAGGTAACACAAGAAACATTTTGATATATACGTGCTCAAATTTTTAAAACATATAATGTATATATATTTTTTGAAGTGCAAAATTACCTTTTTAAAAAACATTTTGAACTTTCAGCGTTCACATTTGTTTCTTTTTTATTATTATTTATTTCAGATTCTTTTCTGTTATAGGTTATTATAAAATATTGAGTATAGTTCCCCATGCTATACAGTAGGTCCTTGTTGGTTATCTATTGTATATATAGTAGTGTGTATATGTTAATCCCAAACCCCTAATGTATATTTTTTTAATGCAGGTATGTAATACATATGTTTGCAACCTCTAAAAGGTAACATTTTAGGTGCCAATAAATACAGTTCTTCAAAGTTGTTAAATGGAGCACAGATACATATCTATCACCATCACTCAACCATCCTTCTGGTATTGGGCTTTACAGTAAGTCCCCTACGTACAAACGAGTTCCACGCCAAGACCCTGTTCGTAAGTCCAATTTGTTTGTAAGCCCAACGAAGTTAGCCTAGGTACCCAACTAACACAATCAGCTATATAGTACTGTACCATAATAGGTTTATAATACTTTTCACACAAATAATACATAAAAAACAAACACAAAAAATAAAGAAAACATCTTTGATCTTACAGTACGGTATCTTGAAAAGTACAATAGTACAGTACAACAGCTGGCATCCAGGGGCCGGCATCGAGTGAACAGGCAAGAAGAGTTACTGACCGGAGGAGGGAGAGGAGGTGGGAGATGGTAGAGCTGAAGGGTCGTCAGCAATAGGAGACGGAGGGCCAGCTGCAATTTCACTCACGCCTGACGTTGATGGCACACGTTCTGGTTCCTTGCTGGATTCAATTCTATCTACCCTCTTGAAAAAATGATCCAGTGACGTCTGGGTAGTAGCTCTTTTTTCTCGTCATAGATGACACGGTAGCACTGGATTACATTCTGAACGGCTGCTGCAACCTTCGTGTACTGTTCTACGTTCAGGTCCTGTGCCTCAAAAACTAACGGTGCCTCCTCAGATACAGAAAATCCCCTGCCATTTCCTGCGTCGTGAATCTCTTTTGTTCTTCAGTTACGTCTTCTTCCTCTCATCTCTATCCTTTCTCTGGGCCTCCAATTCCTTCAGGTCTTCATTAGTAAGCTCCTCGTGTTGCACAGCAACAGTACTGTACAGTAAAGTACACAAAAGCACAACCACGTGTGGAGGATGCACGCACGTAACGATGTACGCCAGACACGTGAACTAAGTTACGTGATTGAACGTGTGGACGTACTTTCGCATCTTTGAAAGCTCGAAACTTGAAGGTTCGTTATGGAGGAGACTTACTGCATGTATAAACATTGCTTCACTAAAGATCCTACAGCTAAATCCTTGCCAACAACCTTAACTACTTAGGACAGATCTCAAAAAGAAGGCTCATTCAATCAAAGAATGAACACATTTTGTGAGCTCTGACTGACATCTTTTGGAAGGTCAATTTGTTGTTGGCTATTTACACCCTCTTCACTTCCATCAGCCCTGAAACAACAGAAGAAAGTGAACCCTTTTCTTGGCAGCCAAACGTATCGCCTTGATGGTTGTGGTTGATAATTCATCCGGAACGACGTTTTCACTGTTACACAGCATTTTTCTGTGTCAACAAAGGGACCAGCCAAAAGCTTTGCTTCTCCAACCACAGAAATATCACTGGTGGTGACATTTCCACACCTTTCCAACATGAAATTATGCACACAGCAACCCTGTGCGGAATAAATCTCCACTTATTATATAAAATTTTATAAAATTGAGGCACATTTTATGAGAGCTGACATAAAATCATTCAAATGAGAATTATTTCCTATGTATACCTGCAATTTGAACAGCGCTTCGAGGGGTGAAGATTCTGGCTGGGCCAGCACGGGGCGCTGTGCAAGTGCAGCCAGAGGCGGAGATGCTGCTGCCCAGCTGAGCATCACCCTCTTCCTTGCCGCCTACCAAAACCCCGAGAGACTCAGAGGTGCGGCACCCAGCTACTTCCGCTGCCCGGGAAGGAGCTGATTTGTGATCCTTCCCCGTTACTGGGCGATGGGGGGCGGGGGGAGGAGTCTGCATAGCTGGTCTGGTTCCAGAGGCCACAGGTTTAAGTTACTAGGGTGGGGTGCGGGGTGGAAGTGGTGTTCCATAGGGATGGTGTCAAATTAGGAGCATCATTCCGGGTTCCTTCTTCCTGAGCTGGGCCACTACTTTGAACCATGGCATGGGGAAAGCTGGTCAGAAAGGGCTGGAAGACCAGCGGGCCAATGCACAGGCTTTAGCTGTTTCGGAGGGGAGTGGCCAAAGTGGGTATGTTAATTCAAAAAGACACACGCACCCCAATGTTCATTGCAGCACTGTTTACAATGGCCAGGACATGGAAGCAACCTAAATGCCCATCGGCAGATGAATGGATAAAGATGTGGTACATATATACAATGGAATATTACTCAGCCATAAAAAGGAATGAAATTGAGTCATTTGTAGAGACGTGGATGGATCTAGAGACTGTCATACAGAGTGAAGTGGGTCAGAAGGAGAGAAACGAATATCGTATATTAACGCATATTATGTGGAACCTAGAAAAATGGTACAGATGAACCGGTTTGCAGGGCAGAAATAGAGACACAGAATTAGAGAACAAACGTATGGACACCACGGGGGGAAAGTGGTGGTGGGGGGGTGGGGGGATGAACTGGGAGATTGGGATTGACATGTACACACTAATATGTATAAAATAGGTAACTAATAAGAATCTGCTGTATTAAAAAATAAAATTCAAAAAAAAAAAGTGGGTATGTTTCTGGACTTTCAGTTAAAGACGTGAACTTGAGAAATCGTTTCCATGAACCTATCCATGAGCCCCTGGGGTAGAGCAGATCCTCGGATAGTCAGTGAAGTGAGGGAATGCCCTGAAACCTGGGAGTGGTGTCCTAGGAGTGGGGACCAAGCCCTAGGAGAGGTCAATTTGGACGTCCCAAGTCTCTAAATGAGATGAGTTAGTGTTTGAAACTAACGTATATGGAAAACACTGAGTCTAGGGAACAGCACGCTAAATTTATGAGCCCCCCCAAGGGAGGAGGAGACAGCAAACTGAGCCTATTTGTGACAATTGGGAAAGTTACAAATGGGATGTGTAGATTCAGTGGCCACTTGCAGCAAGGTCCTTTGTTACAGGTGGGATTCTCCAGGGAGCAGACAGGGGGACGGAGTTACCATGCAGGATGTTTATATTAGGGAATGCCCTTCAGATCGGCAGCTGTGAAAGGAAGGGATAGACTGGGTGCCCATTAGATTGTCCTTCATTGGCTGAAATGGCCAGGGCTTCAGGTTCCCACCTGGATCTGTCGTTGGATTTGGGCCGCCCTGGGATTGCAGGATCGTGGGTGAGGAGCTCTCTACAACTGAGGCAAGCCTTGAAGAGGCCGACAGCAGAAGGCGCCGGGGGAGAAGCCCTCCCGGCAGCTGCAGCCTGAGGGTGGCCTGGGAATTAGGCAGCATCTCTGTGTCCATCACAATATATTTCCTACATGAGCCCCGATGTTCTAACACCCCCTTCTCCCCTAATTTCCGCTGGATCGCATGATAGGATTTGGGGTGCGGGCTGAGAGGAAGTGAAGAGCCCCATCTAAGGGTCCTAATCATGCTCAGTTATACTCATTTTTTATCACACATTGTGGTAACCGCACAAGCACATAAATACGGCTCAGTGATGATGCTGAATCATCCATTCTCTAGAGAAAATATTACAAAATTAATACCAATGGAGCCGAGTATGCAATAAAAATTATGTACGAAAAAGGTGTGCCAGGAGGTTAATAAAAATACCGTATTATATTTTCCTGGATTCAGTGACGTTTATCGTATTGCTCCTTTCTAAATGCATGTTCACTTTCCTGCCTCCTTCCGTATTCGTTATTCCGTGATGTCTTTCTCGGCTCTCCGCTCTCGTAACTGCGCGGAGACCAGAGGCGGCCTGGGCGACAAAGCCGGCCCGGGGCAGGGCTCAGGGCGACATTCAGGTGAGGGGCTGCCCCCCACCGGCGGCGAGTCCCAGCGCAAGTCACCTGGACATCTCCGGTGCACGACAGGGGAAATCATACTGTGTGGTCCTGTTGATTAACAAGCACTGGACGCGCGCAGGGAAGGTCACGCCATTGACCTCCCAGCGTTAGGCGGCGGATCCCCGCCTCCCCTTTCCGCTCAGTGCGCGCGCCCCAGGCAGGGCGGGGTCGGAAGCTCGGGCACGGATTGGCTGGGAGAAAGCTGCGCCAACCTGTTTGAAAGGCCCAATCGGCGCCCGGCCTTTCCGAGCCAGCCAATGGAAAACCGGAGGGGCGGGCCGGAAGGGTGGGAGTCGCTATTTGAACCGCGGCGCGGGGAGCAGTCCCCTGTTCGGCTTCCCGTCGAAGTAGGCATTTGGCAGTCCGCGCGCCATGGAGGGCGAGGTCCTGGGAGAGGATGCTCTGCTGCGGAAGCTCAGGGACAGCCGCCGCCGTTTCCAGAGGCGCATGCAGCAGCTGATAGAGAAGGTGCGGCTCCCCACGCTGGAGGGGAGGGGGAGCGGGACGGAAGGGGAAGGAGTAGGGGCGGGAGGAGGAGGCAGGGTTGGGGACTGGGGGGCAGAGACGGGGGTTCGGGACCCCCGAGACTTGCAGCCTCGCGCTGGCGCCTTCTCAGCCCGGGTCAGGGGTTCCCCTCGGTCCTCCGATCTGACGGGTTGCCCCTTCCTCTCCCGCAGTACAACCAGCCCTTCGAGGACGCCCCGGTGGTGCAGATGTCCACGCTGACCTACGAGACGCCCCAGGGTACGAGTCAGCCCCCCTTTCTGAATATTTACGGTTAAGGGTGTAACTAGAATAGTGTCCTACTAGAGTTTGAAATGCTGTCCCTGCTCTCTTGAAAATAAACCTTGTTCACCTAGTAGATACTAAACCGTCACTAGTTCCCTTGAACCTATAAATTACTTAAATTACTTATTTCCAACAGAATTACTTATTAAGACAGAATTCTGATGACACATAGATGCATCCTCATTAAAAATGTCCCCGCCTGGGTTGGCATCCCTGCTGGCTGTTTAATAGCCATGTCAGCTTGGGCCCATTGCTTTAGCCAGGCTGTGGCTCAGTTTCTTCACCTGTAAAATGGAAAGATGATGACAATAATATTTACTTGGCGTGGAGATTGTGACAGTTACAGAAGATGAAGCTCTTGGAACAGTGCCTGGCACTAGTAAACACTCGTGTTGACTGTTATTTGACCTGTTTGATTTGAGGTTCTGAGTACTTTGGAATTTGACCTGAATCTAAGGAGAAGGACCCATTCTGTTTAATGGTTGATGCTGCAAACTGACTTAAATCTCATGGATTCTCTTTGGTAAATAGCTGGAGAAAGTTTGCACTGGGTGAGGTCAGTGCCTGCCATTCAGCCTCATTCCAGCTCAGTACTACCTACTAATGAAAGTGAATCTCAGACCCGGTTCTGCTGTGCACCGGACAGACAGACACAAAACAGTTTGTAATTAAATGAAATCCTAGCTCTGCTTTTTCAGCTGGCCTAGCCATACCCTGGGTGAAAAATTTATTCAGGCAGAAGCTAAGGTATTCCAATAGTAGGTTTCTGTTACTCTGGCCTCTGTCAGGTGGTGACAAGTCTAACCCGAATGCAGGACTCAGGAGTGTGTAGAAATTCCTAAGGGTGCTGTCAGCGGGCTTCACAGTGTTCTCATGGCCTGTTCATGCAAGGATGGGCAGTGTCTGGAATGTTTTGGTCAGTTCACATATCTTGAACACCATTAATTTCACCAGTGAAAACACATTTCAGACTCCAGTTTGATGAGAACAGTAGTCAAGCATCAAACACTTTAGCATGTGGAAGACCTCCTGAAGAGCTTGTTGAAACAGATTCCTGGGGCCACTGACAGCAATGCTGGATGTGGATTCAGTGGGTCTGTGTTCCAACAAATTTCTAGCTGATGGGAGTGCAGCTCCCTAGACCTGTAGCTTGCCCTGGAGAGGCACTCAGTTAGGGAGTGGCCTTTTTGATTAAATGCTAGCTGGCCACTCTTACAGGGTGAATTCCTGCAATTTAAGGCAAAACCATAGGGGGTAGATGGGAGCTAACAACCACACTGATTATGGTGAAGACAGCAGGTGAGTAATAGTCATTCACATGTTGACAGCTAAGCATATGCCTGTGCTTCTAAGAGTCTCAGGTTTCTCAACACCCTGCGAGGTGGGTACTGTTAGAATCATCAGTGTTTCATAGCAGAGGATACAGCAGAGAGAAGTTAAGGGACTTGCCTGTGGCACTTAGCCAAAGTGACAAAGCTTTGGTTTGACTCCAAGCGCCTCTGTTCAAGCGTCACTCTGTTCTGGAAAGGCCACACAGCTCAGTGGTCAGGACCCCAGAGAGTCACTCCCCTGGGTTCACAGCCTGGCCTCACCACATGGGCAAATGGCCTGGGCTGGTTTTTTCACCTTCTCCTTGCCTCTGTCCCCATCTGTACAGTGAACTTGGTGAGTATCTATCCGAAAGGAATTAAGAGTACCATACGAGTTATATGTCAGTGAGTTGTAAATGAGGTGTACTTGGAAAGGGATAGACTGGAGCCTGGAAGAGTGAGCAACGTGTAATGATTGCTGCTGTTACCATCATCAACAACCATCTCAAGCCTCGCAACCCCATGATTGAATTTACCTGGGAGCCAACGGAGGTTTAGGGAGAGATTGAGTATCTTGCCCAGATTCTGCTAGCTAGTAAGTGCAGGACTCCAAAGCTCAGTGTTTACCCCCTGTGCCGAGGGCTTGCTCTGTAACGTGTACATTGTCCTGAGAAAGCACTTGCATGGTACATGGGGTAGAGAGGTTGCCCTTGAAAAGTGATCTCTCTCTCTGTAGTATATGGATTACTCTCAGTATATGTATTTTGAGGACAGTACTTGGCATACATATGTTCGTTGTTTCCACTTAATTTGTGGCTTAATGCTGGATTCAATGAGCTGCTTGCTGCCTACTAGGTAGGAGAGATTTTTGTTAATGACAGATTTTTGTCTAGTGTTGATTTTTGAAAAACCTTCAACCTCACAAAGATGAGAAACAACAGGATATCAGAAATATGGCTTGGTTATGTCTTGGTTATATTAGATCTTTCTGTTGCCTGTCACTTTGGTTTGCTTTGAATTCAGATTGAACAGAAACTCAGTGTTCATGATTACTTAAGTAGTCATTTTTATTTCTTTTCTTAAGGATTGCGAATCTGGGGAGGAAGATTAATAAAGGAAAGAAATACGGGACAAATCCAGGTATTCAATGTCAAATTTTATTGCCACCATGCCTTGCCGTGGAGGAAGGTTGATGTGAATAAAGGTGGAGATGAGCTGGAACTGCACCCAGGGGCCACTGCAGGGTGTCGTTCCACAGTTTTCTCACCCTAACTGCCCTGTTTTCTTGTGTGTAAGGATTTACTGAGACGCATGTCTTCTGTTGCTTGTCAAGTGCAGGTAGGAGCTTGTGATGCTTATGCCCCTTGCATCCCCCTGTGTTTCCCCTGCCATGGACCAAGGGGCTCTGACAACTGGAGCCCACCTGTAAGGTGGAGCCAGCTGGATAGACCTCCTCCATCCCCAGCTTCAGCCACAGCTACCAGCTTGCTTTGCCGGGTCCTTACAGGAAAGACCAAATCCAGGTCCTTCCGGGAAGGAAAAAGGCATCTTTCCCTCTTCTGAAAGGAGCAAGAGATTAGGGAGAGGGTGCCCTGTGCCGTTCACTACCTTTTAAAACCCAGGTGTGTTTTTCCCGAGTTTATCCATGGACACAGCAGCTATGTGATCTGTTACCTTCATGGGAGGGGCCTTGCTACTGTGAGACCCAGGGTGTCTTGTTTTTTTGTGGCAGTGACTTTTGTAAGGATGTCTGGTATCTTCTTAATCACCACTTCTCACCATGTGGTGCTTCCTCGTGGCCAGTTGGGGAGCCGGTGCCCAAGAATGAAAACATCAGCATTAGGGTTACATAACAATTAACAGCAAATCTAAAATCAAATTTCCTCCTGATTTGTTATTTTAACACATAATACATTTAGTCATAGAAATGTTAGAAATACATATAACTACTGAAAATTAACCTGACTTGTATATGCAGAGATAAGAGATAGTCACTAATAATAATAATATTTTAGTATACTGTGACACCTGAATATGTATTTATAAATACACATTTCTTTATCCCTTTTTCTTTTAAATACACTTTTTTTTACCCTCTTTTTTCCACTTAATACATATTGTGAAAACTCCTCTTTGTCATCTGTTGTATAATTCAATCTCCTTTTTAAAAATAAACCTGCTCTCTTATTGCTAGTCATTTAGCTATTTTCACTTTCCTTTATTATAAGTCAGGATCAGTGCTCTTTTCCTGCAAAAGTCTAGATCAGGGGTCCCCAACCCCTGGGCCATGGACCGTACAGGCCGCACAGCAGGAGGTGAGCGGCAGGCCAGCCAGCGAAGCTTCATCTGTATTTACAGCCGCTCCCCATCGCTCACATTACCGCCTGAGCTCTGCCTCCTGTCAGATCAACGGCAGCATTGGATTCTCATAGGAGCACAAACCCTACTGTGAACTGCACATGTGAGGATCTAGGTTGCGCACTCCTCATGAGAATCTAATGCCTGATGATCTGAGGTGGAGCTGTGGCGGTGATGCTAGCGCTGGTGAGCAGCTGCAAATCCAGATTCTCATTAGCAGAGAGGTTTGACGGCACAGAGACCATAATAAATCAGTTGCTTGCAGACTCATATCAAAACCCTATCAGTGAGTGACAAGTGACAATTAAGCTGCATCTTATGGAGTAGACTGGACATAAGCAACACACTTCAAGTGTCACTGTCTCCCATCACCCCCAGATGGGACCATCTAGTTGCAGGAAAACAAGCTCAGGGCTCCCACTGATTCTGCATTATGGTGAGTTGTATAATTATTTCATTGTATATTGCAACGTAATAATAGAAATAAAGTGCACGATAAATGTAATACACTTGAATCATCCCCAAACCGTCCCCCCACCCCCCAACCCTCCTGCCCCAGTCCATGGAAAAATTGTCTTCCACGAAACCGGTCCCTGGTGCCAAAAAGGTTGGGGACCGCCAGTCTACATGATAAATATTTTAGGCTTTGCTGCCCATGGGGTCTCTGCTGCAGCCACTCAGCTCTGCATGGTAAGGGGAAAGCAGCCAAGGACAATAGGTGAACAGACAGGTACAGCTATGTTCCAATAAAACTTTATTTATAAGACCCCTGTTATATACAGAGACAAAGAACCGTTCTTATCTCTCCCCAGTGCTGTCACCCCTGTTCAGTAAATGCCAAGAAGTGGGATCATTATGTCAAAGGATATGCATTCTTTAAATTATACATAATAATGGTACCCACTGATCAGCCAGTGCTTGAATGGTCTCGGTGGCAAAGTGTTCTCATCTGGACATTTATTTAATGTTTTTACTTAAAATTAGGAGGAGCCCTCCCTGGAATCTACGGAATTTTAAGCCCCTTTCCTGGGATTAGAAAACTGGGCGTGGTCTACAGCCTCACTCCAGTCACCACCTGCTGCCTGCCCCGTGGGCTGTGCATTGACTTAAGGGTTTGTCCTATCACATGGCCTGGGTTCTCCTTCTGACCCCAGAGCTGCCTGTAGTGCCGATTGGCTGCTTCCCCATGATTCTCAGGCCAAGTTCTGTGATGCCTCCAGACACAAAACAGCTCCAGACACTCTGCCCCATCCCAGCTCACCCAAAGCAAAGGTGGTGACATCCCCCAGGCAGGATTCACAGACACCTAGGAGATTATACCTGGGTGCTGCCCCGAAAGGGACAGGCCTCACCACGTTCTCACTCCTGTGCTTGCAAGGCTGGGGTGGTCCTAAAAATATTTTAGCCAATCTGGCATCTTGAATTCTCCAATTTCCCTAATGAGAGCCCATCCGTAGCATTCGTTATGGTTGTTAAGAGAGGCCAGTTGTGCAGATGAGGCTCTAGAGAGGGAAGCACGGCCTCCTTGGGGGCAGCCCACTGACTGCCCTGCGGGCTGAGTCCTGGTCAGGACAGCTGACCGCCCCGTGGCCAGAGCTCAGGTTGAAAGTGGCTCCCCAAGCCAGGGTCCCACCACATGCTGAGGCTTTTAAAGGAATTGTGGGTCTCGTGACATGGAGATAAATTCACCGTTAAGATAAAAAAGTCACAGAAAGTCCCCCAGGGGCCTCTTGAATTTCCGGATTCTACCTGAGGATCTGGTGACAGTTGTGTTCTGTTTCGTTTTGGCCTTGGCCCTGTGCTCGCCTCCAGGCCAGGGCGTCCTGGGCCTGTCCACTCGTGCCCCTGTTTCCCCGCTTTCCCTGCTCCATCACTTACCATCCAAGTGGTTTCTGGTTTCCAAGCAGCCCTTGGCACGGCCAGAGGAAGAAAGCTCTGTTCTTTTTCCAAGGGAAAGCTTATCTATCTGCTAGGAGTTTTGAGGCCTTTTGTACCATAATATTCTAGAAGAGAAGCCCCAGGAAACTTCCTGTTCTCTCATACACTAAAGGAAGAGGAAGGATTGTCGGTGTGTTACTTGACAGTGGCTTTGAAATGTGTTATGACCGAATCAAGCGTATCATATCTTATCGACTTCAAGGGCTCCCCGGTGAAGACGGAAGACAGGACAAATGGACCCCTGCAAGTCCCAGCTGGAGGTCACGAGCTTCCCTTGCCCTGCACACAAGTTGAGGGTGAGTGTCCTGGCACTAGAAAGCCAGGTCCGGAGGGACGTGGGTTTTTTGTCAGAACGTTTCAAGTCTAGATCCCTCACTCTGACCTTTTCCAAGGTGTATTTTAAAAACTAAAACATTTGAAAGTGCCCTGTTACTTCTTTCTAAGCTCTTCTAAGGAGCTGTCTCGCTCACCGTTACATTGTGGTACTTGACACATAAACGGTACTCGAATATTCTAGAATAATAAAGCCCTCACCCCCACCCACCCATTTTGTTTTGTTTTGACCTTTTGCCAAAAAAAAAAAAATTAATCTCAAGAATTTATTAGCAGTAAGACTTTGATGTGCCCTTGCGGGCTGGTGTCATGGACCACTAACTCCTACGCACCCTGTAGGCATCCTTTCTCCTGCTTCCTGTTCCCGCGGGGCCTCCTTTCCCTTCCTCAGGCTAGCTGTGCTGCTGAGCCCCTGGCCCAGTCTGTTTTCTCAGAAATCCACCCATCTTTCTTTCTTTCTGTCCCAGCCTCTCCCTCTACCCTGGGTACATCCCATCAGCTCTCATCTTGAACACACAGAACAGAATTCATATCTCCTGTCTCGGGCCCCTTTCTAGCTGCCTCCCCATGTTCACCTTCCCTTCACAACCCAGTCTGTACCAGTGGCCCATTTCACCACCTCTGGTGTTCTTGCCCCCGTGCACACCTCAGCTGGTCCCCTTCTGGCTTCTGGCTCCGGCTCAAAAGCACACCTTGTGGTGAGGCTCCCGGCGGCCCCGTGGCTGAATCCGGTTGGCATTCTTTGATTTTTATCCTGTTGTCCTCTCAGTAGCATTCAAAGCTTCTGGAAAGTCTGGCCGTGGCCTCAGTGCCCCTGAGCTCCCCGGGCTTTCTCCCTCCTCTCAGCCCCTCTATCGTCCCACCTCCCACCTTCACTGGTGCCCTTTCCCGAGAGTTAGGCATCTTTTTCCCTCACTCCAGTGGAACCCCCTGCCCAGACCCCCTCTGGGTGTGTTTATTGCCAGCGGCCTCTCTCCTTGAACTCTTTGTCTGCACTCTGCATATCTCAGCTCAAAAAGCCAACCCAACAGACCTGTCCTCAGGACAAGGCCACCACCATCTTCCCTGTAGAATGAGCCAGAAACCCAGCATCCTCTTGGCCTCAGCCCCTCCCTCTTCCTCATATCTGAGACAGCGCTGTCCCGTGCCTTTGCCACCACCGTCTCTCTTGCCCCTCTGCCCCATGCCTCCACGGTGCCAGCTCCTGTCTCCACCTGGCCTCCACCTCACTGACACCTTTAAACGTGCGAATCTGGTCACGTGGCTTCTCTGTTCAAAGCACTGCAATGGCTGCGCATTCCTCTGACAGTGAAAAGAATTCAGACCATGCCTGACCTGCCCACTGTCTTTTCGCTGCCCCCTGGAAGCCCCCTGGTCCCCAGATCAGAGCAGACTCCCACTTTTACCTGTGTTCTCCACACCTGGCTCTTCCCCTTGTGGCAGCTAAACAGCTAAGTAATTATAGACTTTGTAATTGTTCTTGAACACCCATGTCCTGTGGGACTGGCCTTTCTGCGGGCTTTGGCCGCCCTGCCCAGGCCCTTGCCCGCACTGGGCAGTCAGAAATATGGGTTGAGTCCTAAAGGGGAAACCAGTGGTCTTTCAGATCAGAGCTAGAAAGAACTTGATGGAGATGTTTACTCATGGGTGTTATTTGTTTACCGGTACCATCTGAATTTTAACTCCATAAAGCCTTGGGCCCATGAATTCCCTGCACTGCTTGAAATCAGTAGGAATAGTTCTTCTTGAACCGAACTGTCCAGTGTGGTGGCCACTAGCCACCTGTGACTATTCAGATTCATTGAAAATTAAGTGAAGTTTAAAATTCAGTTCCCTATAGTCTCACTACCCACATTGCACGTGTTCAACAGACACGTGTGGCTAGTGGCTGACATCCTGGACAGCAGCTGGGGGACCTTCCGCCATCACAGAAGGTTCTACTGGACAGTGCTGGCCTAGAGGGACTCAGCTTCCAGGATCAGAGGCCATGGAAAGAGCCAGAGGTGATACAGAAGTTGCTTTCCCGCGCCTCCCCGACTCTGGGCGTGTTCCTGTTTGATGGTTTCTCTGCATGGCGACAGATGGCCACGTCCCTATTAAAGGGGGAAGCAATAGGAGTTTTCACTGTAAGGTGTACTCAAGCAATGCAAAAACTATCCTTGAGAGAAAAATGCAAGCTTTCTTTAAAAATTCTGATGGAAATTTCCTTTGCTTTTAGATTCAGTAAGCAGTGATACTGAGACAACGTTATTCCAAGAAGATGTGGTTGCTGGTAACTTGATGGTAAGACCTGTCTTTTGTAATGAAGGTAGAGTTGAGGCTTGGGGACAAGTACACATTCTCATGACCTGCATCTTCCTGTAAGTCCCCTTCTGAGGCTCGCTCTTTGCCGACATCACCCCTCAAGTCTCTGTCCCCACGTTCAGATCCCCTAAGGCAGCAAGTCACCCCTTCTCGGTTCAGCCCGTACTCGCCCAGTTC